GTTAACTGATTTCTGTTTAAATCTTCATTAAGAGGAATGCAATGCACACTGAACTTACCATTCCTCCCAGGTCTCTATAAACTAATCTTGCCGTCCTTTTTCAGATTGTCTTACATTAGAAAACACTGAGATTCTTTTACCTGAAACGACTTTGTGCTGTAAATAACATAAAAAATTGTCAAATTATCATTCTGAAAATTAAGAAAATGGATCCAGCTCTAATTTTTTCTTGCATTATTAATGTTTGAGGGATAGCTCAAGACTTGACACTTAAATCATGGAACTTAAACCTGACTTGGGACTTGAAAGACTTGACTTGTAATATGAAAAAAAAGAATTGAGACTTACTTATGAGTTCGGGACAATGATTCGGTCACACCTTTAGTTATAAATAAACATTATGTGGTACAGTTTAAAATTAGTTTTGCAGTAGAAATGCAAGTTGGTTCTGTTCTCGTGTTCTCCCATGTTGGTTCTACTGTTTAAAAATTGAATCAAAGGTGGAACCAAAATTTTACATCCATTTTAATCCCCCCTTAAATTTACCTCTGGATTATTATATTAGAATGGGAATCAAGGATGTTACCTTTTATATATATGTATATATATATATATATATATATATATAAAAGGTAACATCCTTGATATATATATATATTCATAAATTAATAAATTAATAAGAAATAAATTAATAAGAGACTAGTAAACCTGATAAAAGATATATCTTTCAATTCTTTCATTTTTCTCTGATGTTTTCTTTTCACAAAACTTCTAACCTGTTTGGTTTGAGGACCATGTTTTGTAAAATCAGCATTAGAATGATTTTAAATTTCTTTTAGAAATGCCCCGTTACCTAATAGAATCATTACAAGAACCTTTTGTGAGTTAAAATAATCAACTGTTATTCATCACCACTGATTTTAAGTTTGCTGAGAGCTTTGTTATCATTTGATGAACAATTGTGTTTTGTTGATGCAAGATCTGCATCAATTTGTTGAGGTTGTGAAAATGAAGCAAGGTAAGAAGTTTTAATAGATTAGGACACATGGACTATTCATGTAATTCTTATTATCCTGGTGTAACAGCTAATTAACACGATAGATAGAAAGACAGACAGACAGACAGACAGAAAAAGACAGAAATCTATTCAAAGAAAGCTAAAAACAGGCTTTTCTTTGGACGATTAAACATCTGAGGCAGACACTGAGGTTGAAAGAGGTGAGGCACGTTCAGAGTAACACGAATTTCAAGCAAAATGTTTTGGAGAAAGAAGGCAATGAGCGAAGCTGAAGACTTAATCTACCAGAGGGAACAAATTAGGAGGTGGCTGGAAAAATCAATACAGTAGTAGGATGGATTTCATGGTATGGGGCTTCGGCTTGTCTCTTTTCAGGCGGAGGAATAGAACAGGGTGGTGTTTAGTAAGACAAGAGTCCTTTAGTGTGAAATAAACAATAATAGGAGAATATCCTCCACTCCAAGCAGTAGTTACTTTTTTGGAAAACCTTACAGTTCATTTTAGGGTAATATCGAATGTTTATATGAGCTGTTCCTGGAATGATGTTGATATGATCTCTTACAGATCTCTCACAGAAAACACACATAGAGTCAAACTGAATACAGAATCCAAAAAATGTGTGAAAAATGTTGTTTTTTTTAAGAACAATGAGAGTCAAAAAAGCACCATGCATTTTCTGAAAGAGCTGCATTGTCCCTCAGTGGGGAAATTCAGGCGTACCAGCTGCAAAGTGAAAGACAAGTCAAAACTTGCAGTTTCACACAAAGGTAAAAATATCAAAACAGGAAGTAAGAATAAGTGACATTACTCTAAAATAGAGTACTGTGCAGATATCAAAGATAGTACAACAGACTATTCACAAGATGGAAAAACTGCGCAAAAAAACCCAGTATTTTCTTATGTTTATCTGTTTTGAGCAATGATTATTAAATGGTCTGACATCTCCTTGGAGGAAGGATCTGTGGTAATGCTTCTTTGTGCATCTAGGATGCAGCAGTCTGTCACTGAAGGAGCTCTGTAACAGCTTCATAGGTTATCCAACAGTGAGGTTATGTTTGTCGGAGTCCTCCTGTCTCATGTGGCAAGGAGATTAATTAATTGCTGTTGCTCCAAAAACTACACCATATGGCTGATCCCACCACAGAACAAATAAAAGTGTTCAGGGCGTACCCTTGCACTCGAAAAGGACGTCATTCTCCTTAGCAAGTAAGTAATTAGTCCATCATCTCATTGTTAATCCCCTGGATGGCCCGTGTACCACACACCAGTCTGTGTGAGACTTTGATAAACTTCAAGAAATCTAACAATGCTAGATTCACAGGCAAAGGTTGTTTCAATTTGTCCTTTTATAAAATAAGACAAAGAAAAAAAGGCTGGTTGTCTCTTTACAGCCAGCACCTAATTTTTTTAACACACAAAAAAAAAAAAAAAAATACAAAAAAGACTATTTGTTATTACAAACCAACTTAAGGTACTGTATGATTGTGCTGGGAAAAACACATACATGATTTTCAAAAAGTCTTATTTAGTCCCTTGTTTAGAGCTGCAGTAAAAACTGCAGAGAATTGTAGATTTAAAAGTGATAACTGAATATTTTTTCCACACAAGTCTGCAGAAATTTCAAATACATATGTCAAAAGCCAAGTATAACTTTTCTCACACAACTTAATTGCGTACTGTCCTATATTATAGGACCCTTATACTGTATCAAATCTAAGCAGTTAGTGCACTTACTCCAAGCAATTACAATCCTCGTTAATGTTGGTTCTCTGAGTTCATGGGCAGAACACACCTTCGTTCCACACCGCATAATAATTCATATCATACACAGCCCAGGCTGTCTCACTAATTCAGATGAATTTAATTAATGTGCTAAACCTGTGCTTTGGAGCATGTAGTGCCGTGCCCTGCGGTCTACTTCCTCCCACTGATAAGCTGGCTGTCCCCTGCAGGTTAAACTTGGGTCTGTGACATGGGAGCATCACCAGTTAAAATTATTGCTCCAACAAGGACATCACTCTGTAGTTTCTGCTTTAAACAGCAGAAAGCTAACCTTGAGAGGAAAAATCTAGCAGCGGTAGTGGGAAGACCTCAAGAGGATAATGTCAGTCCGCTCTACAAGGTGCTTTCCAGGCAAATGGATGATGTAAAGTTACCAGCTGCTTTACTCTGCGGCTGCTATTGTGGCCTTTGTCATTGTATAATAGGTAAAGTCCTTCAGCGGTTTAAAGCAACAACAGAGAGCAGGTAGAGTAGGCTACTCAAGAGAGAAATCTACCATAAGAGTATAATCACTACATTTTAAAGTTTGTGTTATTGGTAGTAGCAATATAACAAAAATTAAATACACCTTATCAAAAAGACACTCTCTGCTTACATTGTTGTCAATATATGCACAAACAGAACATAGCCTTCATCAACAGCACTTTTTTTTTCTTCAAATGTTCGTGATAATCCAAACCATCCAGTTTTGTCTGGAAAAATAACTGTTCAATGAAACTAGCTGATGAGGAGGCGTGTGCATTTCAATCTTAAAAAACTCACACAGAAAGAAAAGACAATTAGAAGAATTTTATTGGTGCAATTACTTTAGTCTTTGGCGCTCAGACCTCGGCAGGAACTATTAGCGCTGAATTTGCTTTGATATGCATAAACAGGAGTAAAGAACAGGGATGTTTCCCCCCAGGCCTGAAACTGGTGGTGGAGTAGAGATGAAGTTGGTCAGTAAATGACTGCTGGCTGGTGAGATGTGTGCTTGAGCTGTACGGAGAGAGACTGCGCAACCTGATACTAGTGCTTCATGCAGGGACCTGGAAGATGGAAGTCCAGCTTGAATAACACAGGTTACATTAACCTGTCCATGATGAAAAAGCATGAAGTGACAGTAGGGAGGAAAAACTCCCCTTTGAAAGAAACCTCTGGCAGAACCAGGCTCAACATGATGGTCTTCTGCCAGACCGACTGAGATGAGACAGGGAAGGCAGTAAGAGTCCTGGAGGAATGACACTCTGATGAAGCAGTTCTAGAATAATGGGTTTATCAGTGTTTTTTAAGATTTGGATTAGTGTTTTATGTACAAATAAACTTAAATTTGACAACCTTATCTCTGACTGCATGATGCCGATTGTTCATTAATGTTTTTTTCAATAATCCAATGAGGCCTTTGACAAAACAGCTGGATTTAAAGGGATTAAACTATACACAGAATGACTCCTTTTAATGATGAGATTATGATTGTTTTAAAAAGAAGTCAGGATTTAATCTATGGGGTCTTAATACAAGTTGACTTCACACCATTCTATTTGCTTTTCAAATTCAATAAAATGAAGCAATGCATGATTTTCACTCCATGCCATTGTTGTTGTGTTTTTGTTTTTTGCATTTATCATAGAAATTAGATTTGTGTTTGCAACTTCATCACAACTAAATATGATTAAGAAAATGCCCACTTTTGGGCATTTACTTAATCATATTTAGTTACTTTAACACAATTGTTTTATTTCCTACCCTGCTAACATGAAACAATTGTGTTAAAGTAACTAAATATGATTACGTAAAAGCCAAAAACAGTTGCATTATTATTTATTTTTTTCAGTGTACAGTACTGATAATTGTTTGAGTACGGAAGAGGGTTAGGGCCACTGGGGGGAAAAAAGTCAAAAATTCAGACTTTTTTCTCAGAATTCTGACTTTGATCTCAGAATTCAGACTTTTTTCTGAGAATTCTGACTTTTTTTCTCAGAATTCTGACCTTTTCCCCCCATATTAAACTCAAATAAAATAAAAAAAATTAGTTAACGTATTTTTTTATTTTTTATTTTTTCCAGTGGCCCTAATCCTCTTCCATATCTGAGGGACTCTGGGTGGCGCTTATAAATTCTTCCATAACATATTGCAGCGTTAAAAGCCTCAGAGGTGTTTCCTTCTCTCTCTTCTCTCTCTCTCTCTCATCAGCGCGCAGTTGGAGCTCACTGCAGAGAATCCGTTGTTGTCTCACTCTGGTCTGGAGACCGTCCTAACTCATAAGCCGCGTGTCCTTTAACACCTGGATGGACAGCGTGGATACGATCCTCTCACCCCGCTCCTTTTACGCACTGTCGTGGCGCGTCTTTGTGCTGAAAGACGGGATGCGCTGGATGTATTTTCTCCGGGGACTGTGAAGCAGGGAGCAGATCAGCACCTCGTAGCCATGTGGACAGCGGACAGGTCCTCAGCTGGAGGAGGCAGACTTTAGACAGAGAGCGTTGCTGCGCTTTCCTGGAAAATAACACCTTTCAGGGAACCTGACAGAGACGAGATGGTAGAGAAGTAAGTAGTCTGCAATGATATGGAGGGGATTACAAATTGTCTGCATGAATTACATTTTATCTTTCCCTCTTACCACCAGATGAATAATAAAAGTGGAACATTTTTCAGTATAAAGTATTGGTTATGTTTACTATCCATCTGAATCGTGACAACAGTGCCTATCCTAGTTATGTAACTTCTAAAATAAAATGCTTGTGAAAAGCTTTAAGGGTTATGAAGTGAGTACAACTCACTATAAACAGTTAAAAAAACCGGCCAGCACGACCTCTTGGAGGTGTTATGTAATAACCTACATGGTAAACTGTTGAGATACAGCATTGTGACAAATATTGTTAAATATTTAATGTTTTTTTCATATATTGTGCTGCTACTGTTCCCACACAGAATAAAATAATGGTTTTGCGACCATGCATAAAAAGTGCTGCATTTGCAAAGTAAAATAAATAAATAATAGTAGTGTCCTACAGCCTGAGTTTAATGTACATTTTGAGTGTCTGTGTTTTATTCTTACTTAGTGATACAGAAAAGTCAAGCTGATGACCAGACATTAAAGAAGAGTTCCAGTTATTTTCAACAAACTTAAAACAGGCGACTAATAATTCGTTCAGTAAGGTTAACAAAACTATTGACGGTTTTAGTTCTCATATTCTGTTTGAGATTTTAAACCCTCACCCACTACAACACTAAACCTTGAACGACATTCCCTAATACAGATCCTAAAATATGGTAGACACATGTAATAATGGAGGAAGCAATTGTCTTTCACCACCATAAAGCTAAAGTATTATTCAATAAATAATCTAAACATCCTAAATAATAAGAATATGGTTTGGCACCAAACAACCAGGATGAGTGTCCACCAGTTTTTGGCAGGACAACTATGTACTCCATATATATATATGGCTTTTATAGGAAGTTGGCATGAAGAGAGAAACAGTTGTAATAAACACATAATAAAGAACATTTTAAAAATGCAACACACCCTAAAGAGACAAGTAAACATTTGTAAGATGGTGCTCCTTTTAAGATGAAACCAAATCAAATCTCTAACATTGAAAGTCCAACTGAACAAATGACATATATAATATAAGCATCCAAAATGTCTGATGGGTAATTAAAGAAGCAGAAAGCAGAACAGCATTCCAAACATGATGTATATCAAAGGAACAAGAAAAAAGAGACATCACATCCAAAGAAAGAAGCTTTGATGTAGAAGCTGAGATAGAATAGAATAGAATAGAATTGCACTGAATTAAATGATCCTTTATTGTCCCTGGATGGGGAAATTCAAGTGTTTCAGGTTTTTAGATATGGGGAATTTGAGCTGATAAATCACACTTCGACTCTTAAGGCAACAGAAATAGTTACATTAATGATGAGTTAAAGGACCCAAAAGATTCTGCTGCAGATTCTCAGGATTTCAAGAAGGGGTTATAGAGCTGTGAAGCATACTGAAAGCTGTCTCTTCTTGTTTAGTTCTGGTCGTTTGAACACTGAGTGAACAAGTCTCCAATGACCAGAGGGTTCTGCGTAGTTCATATCTGACCAGCAGCAAAGATGTATCAAGGATTTTTCCTTTATAAACTGGGAGCCAGTGCATTGATATAAGGACTGGTGTAATTTTCTCAATTTTTGTGAGTTTTTTTTTTTTCTTTTGGAATTTGGCCTCAGCCTGTCTTGAGTCTGGTGGTCATATGATGTTCTCCGTCTCGTTTGGCCAAGCTTAAACTAAACCTGCAGCTATAATTGCAAAGAACGGTGGATTGTGTATCATTTACTTATGCCTCACAGCAGTGGTCTACTTGGGTTTTGGTCTTTAACAAATGCACTGTAAAGACATTTTGAAAATGTGTAAAACAAATTCTTTGAATAACTGTATTTGCCGTTAAGTTGAGTAGGAACATAATATGATCTATCAATGGAATGTGCATTTCTGCCCTTAAAATAAAGATAATTAGATATTATGCGCTGGAAATAGAACTTAATTTTTTTTTTCTTATTTAAATGAAAATTGTCTTGTCCCATTGGCAAAGTGTCATACTTACCTCCTAAATTCAAGAAAAATAAACAGTTATTTTAAGAAATATTTACTTAGATTTACATTTGTTGCAGTGTGCATAAAACTTAAGACCTGAGGGCCAAAACTGCTAAATAAATGGGAGTTAGGATTTAATTCCACAGCAGTTTCCTTTGTTTGACTGAAATATATAACCAAAAGTATGCTATACTATATTATTTATTCATATAGTTGCAACTGGTCCTTCTAAAGACATGGCCTGTAATAATAGATTGACATCCGTAGTAAAATATAATATCAAAATAAAATAAGCTTTTAAAATTATTTTCTACACAAATGAAAAAAATAATGAGGTATGAAAACCTCAGAAATCTATTCTACTCTTCTTTTTTAGACCATTTTGTTTCCTTTATTTGAATGAATCCTTGTATTTCCATTACGTTAAAGACTTGAATCAGTTTTCTGAAACTCTTAGAGAAACAAAAGTGAATTGGAAATATATTGAATGTGACTGGATTACTGCAGGTCTATTGTTTCACTTGTACTCACTGGTAAAAGCCTTACATTTCTAGTTATTGGTAAGATGTTCAGGTATGTGCAGCCTACAGTATACTGCTAGTGAAATAATTGGTGTATAGCTATGTAAGGCTAAAAATGCATGCAGTTCATCACAGTTAAATAAAACTGTTAGACCTTTAGCAGTTTTTAACAAACTTTGTGCATTTCTTTAAAGATAAAATTAAATGATTGCATCATCACTTAATTATTTTATTTAAAGTTAAAATGAATGTTTCATAGATTACATTTAAAAAGGAATCCGAGGGAAACATGATTACTATTTCATAAGACCTGTCTACTGATTTAATGCATAATTTTTGCATGAATGAAGCTGGCTGAGCTGCACATGAACCTCTCCTTAAAAAACTAATTCTTGCGTAGAAATGAAACTAAGTTGGAGAACAACAGTAAAGGTGTAAAATGTTAAGTACCTAAATACTAGGAAATAAGAGTTTCTTGATTATCTCTATGAGGATGATCTGACTATCAATTAAAAAAAAAAAGAATAAAAGAACAAAATGAGTGAGTCAGTGTTACAGTACATGTCTCAAGCAGAGAGATGGGTAATAGAAGCCTGCCATTAAATGATACTACATTTAGAGTGTTAATGAAGTGTAAAACAGGAATGTTTAAATGAAAAGTGACAAGTCAATTTGTGGTAGTGTGAAGCAACAGTGAAGCCAATTTAAAAAGATGTAATACATCTGTCCATGTAATCATAATATGCTCATTATTGGCTTCAATGGTATTTCTAGAGCACCTTTACAAGAAACTAGCAAGAAAAACAAAAGTAAATTAAAGAAATTCCATAGAATAAAAAAAAAAAACTTAAAGAAATGGCCTAGAGTGGCTTTAATTTGAAAATGCATTTATTTCTAATATACATGTAGGAGAAAAACTTTTCTTGTTTTTAAAGGCATTTTTTTTAACAGAAAAATAACAAAAAACAGCTTTTCCGTTATTCTAACTTATAGATAATAATCATCTTCAACCTTTCAGTGGCCGCACCTGACCTTCTTGACCCAAAGGCTGCTGTCCACAACTCCAAGCCTCGCCTATCGTTCTCTACCAAACCAGTGGTGCTGAACACTCCTGACGATGACTGCGACACACGGACCACAGTCATGAGGTGGAAAACTGTGACAGCCATCTTCTTCCTGGTGGTGCTATACCTCATCATCGGGGCAACCGTGTTCCGGGCACTGGAGCAGCCTCATGAAAGCTCCCAGAAACTGAACATTCTGGCAAAAAAACTGGAGTTTTTGGTGGAACACAGCTGTGTAAACTCAACGGAGCTGGAGGATCTTGTCAAGGCAGGTGTAATATTTTCTTTTCTGCTGATTTGTTATCACTGACAAAATGTTCTTCTCTTATAAAGTCTACTTTTTTCATATGCATCTTAAGTTTGTTCCCATGTTTTTCATTTCTTAAATGGCAGCCTGTGGAAAAACAAGAAAGTACTTATTGAAATACAGTCAATATGAGGTAATATCAGGGAATATACAGTGCAGGTTCTATTTTAACACTAGAACCATAATTACCACAGCTTGAGGCCTGTCTTGAAATGAATCACCTTGCACACTAAGACTCTTGGAGACGGCTTTTTCTCCTAGTTTGCTTTGTTTGCATTTGAATGTGGTTTGGATTATTTGTAAAGAATTTTCTGTTTTCAAATTTCCAACAGTTGGTAAGTAGTGGAAGTGCTTAGTGTTAACAAATCTAATCAATTAATCTACTGTTTAAAGTAATGTGTTTTTTTTTTTTTTTTTTTTTTTTTTTTTTTTTACTTACCTAAAATTTGGTGGGCTGTTGCTTAGCAGGGAGAAGGTCCTGGTTTTAATTTCAAGCTTAGGGTCTTAAAGCATGGAAAAATGGACTGATGCCTCTATATTGTCTGTTTGGAAATGGTTGTATGGCAATGTTTGCAAGGTATACACACCTTATTCCCATAGAGTGCTGGAGATAGGCACCAGCCCCTGTGACACTCACATATAGGCAGCAGAAGATGGAGGAATGAATGGATGGATGTTTTTGGTTATTGACTTAAAAAGACATAAAGAATGACACATGCAGAGAAAAGTGGGGCATGTTCATGAAGTGGCCCATGCTTGGCTTTATCATCCAATGATTTTTAATGTGTTTCTTGCACTATCATATGAAATGATTCTTGTCAATTTCCCTTGTTTATCATTATCACTAAGCAATGACGTTGCAAAAACCTTTGAATTTCTAATATCTATACACTTGACAGTATAGGTCATATGAGGTAACCCACAGGGTGAGCAATTTCAGCCATACTGTGCTGAGAGGGCATGACGTACTAAAGCGCCACCGGCTTCTAGAGGAGAGAAAACCTTTTTTCCACTACGGGGATGGGATTATCATTCACATTAATAGTGAAGTTTACCTGTCTGACTTTTGATTTCCTTGAAAAGTAAATTTTTTGGAAATTATTTCTAGGCTGTTTTGCTGCACATGACTCATTTTCATAAAAACCTGCGTATTCTGGGCCACTAAAGCCTGTAGACTTAAAAGTGGTGACTGAACTGGTTTGATTTTCTGTTTGAAAATAGCTCAAAAGGCAATGATTTCAGGCCATAAAAATGTTTAAATAATTTGCTGATTGTGTTAAACAGGCAACCAGGCATTTAGTATTTATAAGATAGACCGATTTGATAAAACAAAAGCAACTCATATCAAGACTACATAAAATCTTTAACACTACAAGTCATTATCAATCATTCAGCTCTGATAAGGTCCTGTTTAAAGCTCCATTTACTTTAAAATATGCAAAGTACTAAGTAACAAGATGTAGTTTTCCTGTTGCATATTAAAAGTATTGCAGGGAAGTAAATTATTGTTTTAAACGAAAAGAAAGTAAACTGAAAAGAATAATTGTTTCAATATTTATTTACAGCAGTGGAAAATAACAGAGGAGAAAACTGTCCATTAGGAATGCTTAGTTTATTTGAAATCTTCGCTGCATATGGTCATATATTTAACATAAGGAAAAATATAGCAAAGATCCAAGTGAATGACTTGTGTACTGCACAATTAACTAAGATATTGTTTGATGTACAGTAGCATTAGCACCTAAAGGTGGTCTGTTTGTCTTAACTCTTTAATAAAGACATCTCCATGACATCAAACATTTTGATGGTAAATTTAAACAACACAAACAAAAAAAGACAAACAGTTTTAGAGATATAAGTTTGCTCATATAATTGGTCTAATTTACTCTTTAATTGGCCATTCATATCGGCTAATACTACTCCTACTAATCCTGTCAGGTTTTAACAAAGGACTGGCAGGGATCAAAGGTCCAGAGGCAAAGTGATGGGTCAGAGCCAGAATTGGAACAAAATGGTATTCTGGAACAAAATAACCAGAAGGTCTTAAAAGGTTCTCAAATAAAAGCCAGGAAGTCTGAGTATGGGTAATCAGTCCAATCCAGGGGATTAGCAGGAGACAGAGAGCAGGGCACTGAAATAGAGTAAAAGACCAGAAACCAGAAGCTAACTGGAGATGTGTCAGGAGCAAGGCAGAGCAGGGCTATCCAGGAGGCAGGAACAGAGTTGTGATCAGACAGACAGGCAGGAGTAACACTAGACTTACTAACCATAGACTTTCAAATTATCTGCCAGAAAGCTGTATTTAAAGGCAGCAGAACAGGTGCATGGAATGAGCTGAATGCAACTGCTGCAAACAGAGGTGCAGGTGGAGCTGATTAACTTTAATACAGAAAAGCAGGGAGAAAGAATCAGGACATTTCCTCTTTTTTATCTTACTAATTATTGTTAGAATTAGTCTTTATCTTTTCTGACACCTTGAATCTATCAGCATATTACCATCCTACAGCTTCACAACTGTGTTTTCTGCAGGGCCCACCTGCTAAAGTGACGTCAGTTCCAAGAGCAAACTTTGCACAATGCCAAGGCAGAACTCATGGGAGTTTTAGTGTAAAATCTAGATATAGTATCAAGCCGCCATTGTGGCTTATGTGGCAGCATTACCTGCCACTGCTGAGACTCAGCCTCTTTTTGCAGTTTGCTGAGGGTTAATATGAAGCCCAGGTAGTTTTAGTTTTCAGGTATTTTTTACAATTTATTAAAGGCTCTTAGATTTTGGTCAGGGCTTCACTTCTGTTCCCTGAGCCGCTACGATTTAGTTTATATGTTTCCATGTTTGTTTTTAATTAATAAAGTATTTTGATAAATAAAGCTTAGAGATCTGTTTATTTAATAAAAGTAAATTTTCTTCCTCAGGCCAGCTAAAGAAATGTTCATATGTGGGCAATAAGCTTAAATATTATGTTTGAGCGTTTTTTTTATGGATTATTGATCTTTCAGTTGAACTTGTCAGAGCTGATATAGAGTGAGCCCTCTGGGAATCTTGTTATCATATTGCATTTCTGGAGAATGATTACATGCCTCATGATCCAGAACAGTAAAATGCTGAATAATATTATTTTACGTAAATTGTTTATACTTTACTATACAACGATTTGAAATATAACAAAAAAATGAGAGAAAGATATTTTCTTACTTAGTTCTAACTCAGTGATGTCTGAATAAACTATGACAGCATTGCTTTGAGAAATATTTAAAGTTGAAAAGCTAAAATTTTGCATATTGAACTATAGGACCTTACTTCTTAACTTAAATACAGTTTAGTCGTCATCTGAAAATCTTTAATAAAATCAAAATGTTGTTTTACTCCGTATTGCAAAGCTATAAATGTTTTCTGATTAAAGAAGATGCCATTCCTCCTTCTATCAAAAAGATGATACCTCATCTTTTAAAGACATCTTCATTTATAAAGCAATTTATATTTTTTATCCTATTATCAGTTGGATGCTTATAATTTGAGCCCATATTATAAAATGCCAAAATTTGTTTAACCTTTATCCTAACAGAATACACACAATTAAGCATATATTAAATCTTTACTGTTAATTTCACCAGTTTTTATGTAAAAGTTTACATAAAGTTCATTTGATCGTATAAAGTTCACTGATCTACATTTAATAATAGTAATAAGCTTTTACTACCCTTTTTCATTACAAATACTGTTTTTATTAGTAGTAATCCAGTGACAGCTGTTAAGTACATTAAATTGTTTAAGAATGTTAAAACTTACCTTTGCAGAGATTAATTCATCCCTGAACATTGTGTGCTATACTGAGCCAGTCAAGCCTGTTTAAATGAGGTAACATGTTCTTCTTCAGTGGTTTCTACAAGCTGAGTTTGCATTTAAATGGACTGCTGCTGCTTTCTGTTGTGTGACGATCAATAAACCCAAACAAATGGTCGATATAGACCTGCTGTTAGGGAGAGATGCGTACGTTTGTGCAAAGAAACTTGTTGGCAGTTAGAATTTGAAATTTTTTAAGATTTTCACCTTAATGTGGATGAAAGAACCAGATTAAAATAGATTCTATTGAAAATAGATTAACCTCTTGGACACTAGGCCTGTTTTCGAGAAATATGCTTGAAAATAACATGCCCAAAATGAATTGAATATATCTAAAGAACTACAGAGTTTATTTTAATTGTTTTGGTATCAAAATAAAGGCAAGACCCCAGAGAATATGTTACAGGTCTAAAAAGCATCTTGGGGCGAGTGCTTTCATGTTATGAAAAGGTTAAACAATTTAAACTAATTGGTAGTCTTGCTGTTATCATTAAAACAAACAAAAAAGTCCTCATAGACTCCACTGGGTGACAGCTTCAGTTTATTTCTTCTCTTTCTGTCTTCTTACTTCTGTTTTTAATTACCAGGAGTTTTCGAGAGCAGGTAGCTAGCTTTTATTTAAATGCATCAAAAAGAGTATTAAACCTTTTCTCAAAGAGTTCATGAGGCTGAACAGGGCTGGAGGTTCTCATCCAAACAGTATGGACACCATCAATGTATGGAGTGATGGTTGAAGTAAATGAATCCACCAGCAGATCATTGAGCAACAGCAATTGTGCATGGCAGGGCTGGAGGGACACAGATACTGCATTACACAAATAACATTGCACTGTTCATTGGGGATTGTTGGGGGAGTGTTGGCCTAGTGGAAAGAGCTGTGCATTTCTGCTGTGAGAAGGTTGCAATTAACCCACAGACTGCACTCTGGGTCCCTGAGCAAAACCCCAAGGGGATGGGTTAAATGAAGAAGGAAAATTTCTCCAATTTAAGATTAATAAAATGTAATTATTATTAATATTATTATTATTATCACATTTAAGAGCCCCTTTAAAACACATCCTTAGTTCTTTCTCTAAATAGCTAACAGCTTCTTCCAGCATCAGTGGCCTAGAACTCAGTT